GGGGCCATCACTGGCGCAAGTGGGGACGGATGACGCCGCTCGGCCTTGGCAGGGAAAGGATTGAGCATCCTTTAAAGAAAATTATCCATAATCGTCTTCCAGCCTTCGCTTCCACTCCCCCCTCTGAGTCATAACTGAAGGGCCCTGGAGCGTGACGTTCCTGCTGGAAGGAAATTGCCTCGCCTGGAGCTGGGAGCTGAGGGGGGGGGAGATGGGAACCGGCCCCTGCCTGGCTGGGGATGCACCAGTGGGAGCAGGGCAGTGCTGGGGCAGGGGGGGTGAGCGCATGGACCCGGCCCCATTGCAGGAGATGCCTCTGGGAATGGTTCTGTGTGTGCTGAGTCACTGAGCTGGTCCGGAGGGGAGCGGCGCTGGTTTGAGGCTGTTCTCCCACTGGGGGTCCCCCCATGGTGCCCCCAGCCCCTCGGGTTTCCTTCTCCCTTTGGAGCGCTGTGGGAACAGGGCTGCAGCCTCTGCGCCCTCCTCACACCTCCCTGCTGTGCTGCCCTTGCAGGCACTGGAGCTGGGCTCTGGTGTCCCCCTCCGGAGCAGCAGCGATAGGGGCAATGGGAAGGGGCAATGGGAAGGGGCGATGGGAAGGGGAAAGGGTGTTGGAAAGGGGCGATGGGAAGGGGTTGATGGGATGGGAAGGGGCGATGGGAAGGGGCAATGGGTTGGAAAGGGGCGATGGGAAGGGGTTGATGGAATGGGAAGGGGCGATGGGTTGGAAAGGGGCGATGGGAAGGGGTTGATGGGATGGGAAGGGGCGATGCTCTGGGGTGATGGGTTGGAAAGGGGCGATGGGAAGGGGTTGATGGGATGGGAAGGGGCGATGCTCCAGGGCGATGGGATGGGAAGGGGCGATGCTCCAGGGTGATGGGATGGGAAGGGGCTATGGGAAGGGGTTGATGGGATGGGAAGGGGCGATGGGATGGGAAGGGGCAATGCTCCGGGGCAATGGGTTGGAAAGGGGCGATGGGAAGGGGTTGATGGGATGGGAAGGTGCTATGCTTCTGGGTGATGGGATGGGAAGGGGTGATGGAAAGGGGTTGATGGGATAGGAAGGGGTTGATGGGTTGGAAAGGGGCGATGGGAAGGGGTTGATGGGATGGGAAGCGGTGATGCTCCAGGGTAATGGGATGGGAAGGGGCGATGGGAAGGGGTTGATGGGATAGGAAGGTGCAATGCTCCGGGGTTATGGGATGGGAAGGGGCGATGCTCCGGGGCGCTGCTCCGGGTCCCTCCCGCTGCCTCACCTCCCTCTTCCCTTGCAGGGCAGGTGCCTGAGGAGGAGGCGGCGGCGCAGAACGGGCAGAGCCGGGGCCGGGGGCTGCCCAAGCCCGTGTGCATGAACGGGACGGAGCCGGGGCAGCTGAGCACCAAAGGCAAGAGCGAGCGCCGGGCCAGCGCCTCCTCCAACCCCTCGCGCAAGGCCTGCTCCGCCAGCAGCAAGATCCGCAAGCTCTCCACGTGCAAGCAGCAGTGAGGCCGGGGCCCCTCGCTCCACACAGGTAATGGGGAGGGATGGACACCACACACATCTGAGCCAGGGGCAGCAGGAGGGGTGTTCTGCAGCCCCTGGTGTGGAGAGGGGAGAGCTCTGGGTGCTGAGCATCCCTCTGCAGGTAGGATCATGGAGTGAGTTGGGTGGGATAGGACTATGGGATCATCCAGCTCCAACCCCTGCCATTAGTAGGGATGCTTCACCCTAGACCAAGGCTCTATCCAACCTGGACTTGACCACTAACAGGGATGGAGCATTCACCCCGTCTCTGGGTACCCTATACCAGCCCCTCAGCACCCTCACAGTGCAAAACTTCTTTACATCCAACCTTTACACCCATATCCCTGGCCTACAGAGCCAGGAGCCTCTGCATTGTGAGGGGGGTGCAGAGCCCAGTGGGGCTCCCCATTCTGCTGCTGCCTGGCTCTGCTCTCCCCTCTCCACGCTGCCTCATCCTTCCTCCCCTTGCAGTGTCAGCACAGTCCCATTCCCTGCTCCTTGGACCACGAGGTGTCCGTGTCACCCGAGCCTCATCCCCTCCTGGGGATGCTGAGCATCATCCCCATTCCCCCCCCTTCTCCTCCTCCTTCCGAGGGCTCCGCATTCCCTGTCCCTTCTCCCCAGCCCTCATTCATGAGTGAGGCAGCGATGACTCAGGCCCCGCGCTGCCACCCCCGGGCTCTGCTCGCACGTCACGGCTCCGTGGGGCTGAGGCTCTGGATCCGCCTGGATCACGACCAGCTTTGTGGTGTGAAAGGAGCCAGAAATAAAAGCGCCTTCCTCCCCCTGCAGCTGTCAGAGCTCGGGCCCCTGTGGCAGCTTCATCTTTAATTCATGCCTGCCAGTGACTCACCTGCACGGGCACCGCAAGCAAACGCCTCGGAGCTGGGTTTCCCGGTGGGATCAGGGGCTCCATTGCGGGTCCATGCAGGCTGCCTGAGCCCCGTTCATGCACTGCAGGGATGGCCGGGAACGGGTGGGAATCCCCAGTAGTCAGCCCCCATAAAACCATCGACAGAAGCAGTGCTTTGTCCCCATGGCACAAAGTGAAGCTCCTTTGGTTGCGCTTTCCCCCCTTGGGATTTGCTTCCTGGGTGCAGTTGCAGGGCTGGGGGCTAGGATGGGGCTCTGGGATGGAGCATGGACACTAGGACCATGTTCCCATCCAACCCATCAAGAGAGGGGGACCCATAGAACGGTCCAACCGATGGTCACATCAAGCCCTGCACTCACTGTAACCCCTCTGCTCCCCACAGCAGCACCCCGGGGCCAGCCCATGTCCCCCCCCCATCACCCCGGCTCTGCCTCTCTCCTGGCGTGGACTCCGCTTGTGATCCAAACAAGAACCCAGAGGACCCCAACCACGGCCCTGCTCCCACCTGGACCCAGGAACCCCGACGGTGGCCGCGGGAGGACGGATCCCAACTGCTCCCCCATCACTTTGCCAAGCGAGCCCCTCGCTCCTGGGTTGGATTTGGGGGTGGGAGCAGCGGGGCCGGGGCCCCCCCTGGCTGTGTAGAAGTCGTGCAAAGCCATTGCCGTGCACTTTATGTTTTAGACTACTGTTATATATTATATATTTTCCTCTTTTTTTTTTGGGTTTTTTTTTTTTTTTTTGTTCTTTTTTCCCTCGGTTTTGTTTATATTTGCGGTATATTTAGAGATTCCTACACATCGTGATGTGTGAAAATAAACCCGATGAGGAAACAAAAAACCCACCCAGGTATTAAGACAAAGCAAAGCTCTGAAACCTGCATGCTGTGAAGGGCTCGGGAGCGGTCGACTCTTTTCTTTTCTTTTTTTTTTTTTGCCTTTTTTTCTCCTTTTTTTAAGAAAACCACAATAAAGTGCAAGCAGCGAGGTGGGGTTTGGTCCTCTCCTTCCTCCTCAGCCTGGCAAAGCCGCCCCTCTGGGGTGATGTGGGGCCGGAGGCTCCCTGCCCTCCCCAGCCAGCCCCTTGCCCCGCACGCAAACACGCTCGAGAGGAGGAGGAGGAGGCACGTTTTGGGGTGTTTTTTGTCTTTTTTTGTCTTGTTTAGAGACTTCAAACCACCGAGTTGGAGCTCGACTTGGTGCTTTGGACAGAGACATGGCGGAGGGGAAGGAGCGACCCGGCCTCTTGACTCGCATGCAGTTGGGGGGCCGAGGGGTCCTCCCCATCCCAGCCACCCCCCAGGGAACAGGTAACACAATTGGGGAGTTACTGTTGGCTTTTCCCCCTTTTTCTTTCGTACCCATCCTCTGAAACACAAAACCCCACTAAAACCAAAGCCCCCCCCCCCCCCCCAAGGAGCTGCCTCTGTACCCAATACAAATCCTCTGAGCTCCTGGGGAGGGCAAGGGGGGGATGCGGAGGACTCGGGGGTCACCCACACTTGGCTCTTGCCATTTACCCCCATACAGCCCCCACCCCTATTGGGGGTGCTTTGAGGGGGGCCCAGCGCTCATTCTGCCTCCCCAGCCCTCGGGATGCTGCCACAGGAGCCCCTCGAGCATCCTCTTGCCCCAGCACGGCCACCCCAGTGGCTTCCAGTTTAGATCCCAGGATCCCTGCAGAACTGGAGGCGGGGAGCACCCAGCTCTGGCCCCATCCTCACCGGGGCATCCCGGCTGCACCGGGGGCATTATTGCTTGTGAACACCGGAGCATGGGGGGAGCGCATCTGCTACACAGCACTGGGGGGGGGACAGGACCCCTGGGCTGGGCTCAGGGCTTAACCCCCTCCTTGCTCTGCTCCATCTCAACCCCCCCCCCCCCCGGGCCCCTCGGCCACCCCGCACTGCCGGACCCCCGCACTGGGGTTGGGGTACAGCCAGGGGACCCCGCGCATCCTCCATGCAGCAGGAGGGGATGCAGCCCCGGGGTCTCTCTCCCCCTCGCATCGGGCCTTAGACAGGGCTGTGGTCGGGGGGGGCATCGCTGGCTGCCACGGCCACCGTGTGCTCGGAGCCCCCCCCCGCCTGCCTCAAGTGTCCATAGAGCCGCTCCTCGATGCCGCCCGTGATCTTGTCCATCAGCAGCAGCTCCGAACCGGAGCCCAGCCCCAGGCACCTCCCGGGGCCGGGGCAATCCGGGGGGGGCTCGGGGCCGCTTTTAGCCTCGGGCACGGCCTCTCCGGGCTCCTCCTCTACAATCACCTGGATCTCGGGGTCCGGCAGTGCCGGGGTCGGGGGGACCCCATCGGCCGCCTCCGCTGCCTCCTCATCACCGGCGCTGACGATGCGGGGCAGGGGGCTGTGGAAGCGGCTGTCCAGGGGGTAGTTGGCGCTGTCCCCGCGGCGCAGCGGGGTGCGGTGCCGCTCCAGGGCCGGGTAACGCACGCCGGGGTCGCTGTACTGCTTGGTGTGCTGCCACTGCTTGCGCAGGTGAGTGCGGGAGCGGTGCTTGCCCCGCAGCGGGGACTCGTCGAACTGCGGGTCGTGGCGCACGAAGGCGTTGAACAACGCGTCCGTCTTCTCATCGATGCTGTAGTCCCGCCGGGGCAGCGCCTCCCGCCCCGGGAACATCTGCCCGTAAGGGGACCAAGCCAAGGGGCTGTGGGGACGGGGGAGACCCCCCCCAGCCGCACCGAGGGCCGTGCTCCCGTCCTCCTCATCCTCATCCTCCTCTTCCTCCTCCTCCTCCGGCTCCCGGCCCTCGAAGCTCTCGAAGATGGTGCCTTTCCGCCCGGCGCTGGTGAAGCAAATGCGCTTCTCAGAGGCCGTCTGGTCCTTGGGGGGCCCCTCCTCGCCCCCCTTGCTGGGCGCCTCAATGGAGGCGTAGCCGCTGTCCATCTGCAGCAGCTTCCGTGTGCCGGGCTCCGACTCCTCCGCCTTGGGCCGACCCCAGAGCTTCTCCTCGGGGCCTTCGGCCTCGTCCAGGGATGAAGAGGGGCAGGGGGGGAAGCCGCCGGTCGAGGAGACGCTGTCGCCGCCGTCGCTGCGCACCGAGTCCTGGTCGTTGCTGCGCTCGGAGGAGGCGTAGAGCTCCAGCGAGGCGCGGAGGCTCCAGATGTCGTGGTAGGCGCTGGGGGGCTCGGGGACCGCGGCCTCGCCGGGGCTGCCCTCACCCGGCTCTAACCTGCGGGTACCACCCCGGCATCACGGCAGGGACGGGCATGACCTCGGCGCTGTGGTCCCCATGCACCGTCCACCCCGCATGAAGGTGGGAGCCCCCCCCGTGCTTGGGGTCCCCCGAAACCTTCCAAGCCCCCTCCCCATCCCTTCTATCTACTGAAAAATACCTGCCGAGAGAGGGTGGGGGGCTGGCGGGGGAGGGCAGGAAGGGCCCCCCCGCGGGGTGGAAGGCCACATCATCCGTGTGGGCGATGTACTGGATGATGTCGGTCTGGTGCGGGTCCCGGTCCTCCTGGTCCATGCTCTCGCTGGCCGCCCGCTGCCGCTGGAACTGCCGCCGCTTGGGAGACCCTGGAGGAGGGAGCAATAAGGCAGGGCTAAGAGAGGGGGTCCCGGTTCCATCCCAGCACAACCAGTGAGCCCCATGGGGCAGCTCCCACCTCTGGTGTCCAGGCTGGACGCCCGCTGGGTGCTCTCCAGCTTCCACTTCTTGATCTTGAAGTAGGGGCTGGCCCCGTCCAGGCTGGCGTGGCGGCGCAGGCGGGTGAAGAACTGCAGCACCGTGCCCTGCGCTGGGGCCGGGGGGGGCTCCCCAGGGCCGGTGCTGCCCGCTCCACTCCTGGGCACTGGTGCCAACTGGGAGCATGGGGAGAAGGGCATGAGGGCTTCATCCTGCTCAGCTGATGCACAAATGTCCCCCGGGGATGGGGATGGGGGGGACAGAACCGGTTTCTCTACATCCTCCCCATGTCCATCCCATCCCATGGCCCCAAGGAGCCCCAAGTGGGAATGGGGGGGTCAGGGCAGGCTCTTCCCCTCCCTGGTGCCCGGCACTCACCGAGGGGCCCTCCCCGGAGTCAGAGGAGGAGGCGGCCGGGCTGGCCTGGGTGAAGCTGGTGTCGGCACTGGAGTTGTAGGTGTCCCCGGGCAGCGCCGAACTGGGGCACACCGGCTGCGGCAGGGCCCCCGCGGGGGGCTGCGGGGCAGAGAGCGCTCATGGGGCTCAACCAGGAGGAGCCCCCTGCACCCCAGGACCTCTCCCCAGCGCCGGGTGCAGCGGTGCCACCCCCGTTGGTGCTCACCTGGAAGATGGCAAGGCCGGGCTTGGCGGGGGGCAGGCGGGGGGTCATGGCCAGGCTGTTCTCACTGGACTCACACTCGTGGATGGTGACGATCTTGAGGGCGGGCGGCGGGAGGTGCAGGTGGGTCAGGCGCGCGTTCTTCAGGTGATGGAAGTCCCCCTCCGTCAGCGTGTACCTGCCGGGCACGCAGCATTAGGAGGGGTGCCCCCGGTGTCCCCCTCCCTTTGGCTTTCCCCCCCCATGTCCCAGCCTGGAGCTTCACCTCCTCCCCTTCTCCTGGGTCTTCTTGCCCTGCTCGAAGAGCGCGGCCTCGTTGAAGGACACGCGGCGGGCGGTGGAGGAGCTGGAGGACAGGAACCGCTCGCTCTCAGCATCCCGGTAGCTGGAGGACGACAGGCAGTCGGGGTCCTCCACTCTGATGGTGATATCTATGGAGAAAAGGGGGTGTCAGGAAGCAGGGACCCCCACCGTGGTGCATGCCAGCATCCCCTGCTGAGGCCGGGCAAACTCACTGCACCCAAGGCCTCGATGCCAGCCACCACACTGGGTGTTGGGTAATGGGGGTGTGTGGCCACCCCCAGCACTCAGGAGAGGGGGGAGCTCCCCCCATTGAGGAGCTGCTGGTGTTACTGGTGGGTGGGCAGGGGCAGATCGCTGTGATGCTCACCCTGGGCCGGCTGCGAGTCCTCCAGGTAGGTGGTGTTGGTTTTCTCGGGGTCATCGCTGGCTCTGTTGGGGGATGCGGGGTCAGCAGTGCCCCATAGCAGCCCCCCCCCCCCGTACCCCACATCGCTGCCCACCTGGAGTGCCGGCGGTCGGCCTCACAGCACCGGCGGCAGATGATCAGGATGCTGGAGAGCAGGACCAGGGTACCACCGATGAAGATGGAGAGCAGGGCAAGGAGCAGCACGTACCCATCCTGGGGGGACACCTCACCGGGCACCGCCTGCACCAGGCACAGGGGCTGAGATGGAGGATGGGGGGGGTCCACAGCCCAGCCCCGGCCCCATGGGGGTGTGGGGCTGACGCCGAGCGCTGCTCCCCAGTGATGCTCCTGCTCCCCCGCCACCCCCGGGCCTGCTGCCGGCTCTGGGGACCTGCGTTCACCAAGGCAACGGCAGCCGGGGGGCCCCACACCGAGCAGGGATGGGGATGGGGATGGGGATGGGGATGGGGATGGGGATGGGGATGGGGATGGGGACAGGACCCCAGCCCCAGCGCAGGGGTCGGTGCCTGCACCCCCGCGTAGCCGCACTCAGAGCATCTCAGGGGGATGCAGAGAGGGGTCACCCACCCCCAGGAGCGGTGCAGCAGGGGGGGTGACAGCAGGATGCAGACCCCAGCCCCATGGAGGCCATGCAGAGCCCGGCCCCCCCTAGGACCCCCCAAACCGGGAGCCCGTCGGGGGCAGCGCAGGCAGGGGTGGGCAGCGCGGCCCTGCTCACCGTCGCGCTCTCGGTCGCGTTGTCCCACGGTGTCGGCTCATCGCTCATGGTCCGTCCCAGCCCGAGCGCGTCCTGGGGCAGGGGGGGGAAACCAACGGGAGGTGCCGGGGCAGGGCCGGGGGGTGACGGGCGGCGGGTCCTGCCCGGCCCCGGGGGCCCTGCCCGGCACCGCGGTGCGGGAAGGACCGGGAGGAACCGGGAGGGAGGGACCGGGAGGGATGGAGGGAGGGACCGGGATGAAGGGATGGAGGGAGGGTGTGGTCAGGAGGAAGGATGGAGGCGCGGTGGGATGGAGGGAAGCAGGATGCAGGGATGGGGAGGAGGATGCAGCCCCCTCGCCCCCATCGCTGGCACCTTGCGCCCACCCCCGGCTCCCCGTGGGGCACAGACCAGCGGCCCCATGGCAGCCGGAGCTTCCCCCGCGGTGGCCGGGGCTGTGCCCCAGGGTTGGGGTGGGGGGGGCCGGGGGAGCTTGTGGGGAGCAGCTCGGGGCACTGAAGGGGGGGGAGCTGCAGGCGGGATCCCCTTGGCTCTTGGGGCTCTGAGTCAGCCCAGCAGCGGCTGCCGGGGGGGCGGCGGGTGGGGGGTCTCGCCGCTGGAATCCGCTCAAATCAGGTCAGAGAAAGCCGTGAATGGAGCCTCGGCCCCGGGGGGAGCCGCTGCTCGGATTGGGGGGGACGGACCCGGCCGGCATCGGTACGGACCCCTCGGAGGGATATAGGGGGGGTTCTAGGGGGAGACCCCCCCCCTGCCCGGCCCTGGGGCACCGCAGGGTGATGGGAGGCACCCCGAGACCCCCGGGGAAGGAGAAGCGGGGGGTCCCTCCTCTGCCCTCCGCGCTGTGCCCAGGGCAAGGGGGAGCCGGGGCCTGGCGGGGATGGGCACCCATGGATGGGATCCCTGCGGGCACCGAGGCGGGGGCTCGGTGGGGGGGGAAAGGATGACGGATGAAGGGTGCCCCCCCCGTTCCCCATCATGGAGGAATCCCGTCTCCATGGCGACCCAGCTGGAACAGCGCGGCCATTGTCTGGAGGGGCCAGTCCCCGCGGCCTCGGGCCGGGACACGGACACAGACACGGGGGGGCTCGGACCGGGGGACCCGGCGCTCCCGCACGGGGCGGAGGGGGAGGGCGGGGTCTGCGCCCCACAAGTGTGAGCATCCCATGGGGCCGGCGGTGGGGGGGGGAGAGGAAGGACCCGCTCTGCTCCCCCCCCCCGGCTGCCCCGGCCCCGCCCGGGATGTGGGATGCAGGCAGGGATGCGGGAGGTAGGCAGGGATGCTGGCAGCGATGTGGGGCAGCGGCAGATGGGAGCTCCGTGGGGCTGAGAAGGATGTGGGGCAGGGATGCGGACAGGGATATGGGGAAGGGATGCTGTCAGGGATGTAAGGTAAGGATGCTGGCAAGAATGTAGGGTAGGGATGCTGGCAAGGATGTAGGGTAAGGATGCTGTTACGGATGTAGGCTAGGGATGCTGGTAGGGATGTAGGGTAAGGATGCTGGCAGGGATGCAGGACCCCCCAGGACTTCCACGCGCGGCGGGATGCGAGGGGGTCTCCCCGGTCGGGCCGGGTCCGGGTGTCGCGATAGGAGCTGTCGCGATAGGAGCTGTCGCGAGGCGGCGGGGCCAGACACTCACCTACAGCCGGGACCGGGGCTCCATCGCCGCCGCTGCGCTCGGTGCGGGGCGGCCCCGGGATTTATGAATGAACCGGAGCCGCCCCCGCGCGGCGCGGGCGTCACGTGGGGACAGGGGCTGCCCCGAGCCCTGCCTGTACCCGGAGCCCTGCCTGTACCCGGAGCCCTGCCTGTACCCGGAGCCCTGCCTGTACCCGGAGCCCTGCCTGTACCCGAGCCCTGCCTGTACCCGGAGCCCTGCCTGTACCCGAGCCCTGCCTGTACCCGAGCCCTGCCTGTACCGGAGCCCTGCCTGCACCGAGAGCCCTGCCTGTACCCAGAGCCCTGCCTGTACCGGAGCCCTGCCTGTACCGGAGCCCTGCCTGTACCCGAGCCCTGCCTGTACCCGGAGCCCTGCCTGTACCCGAGCCCTGCCTGTACCCGAGCCCTGCCTGTACCCGGAGCCCTGCCTGTACCCAGAGCCCTGCCTGCCCCACAGCGAGCCCTGTCTGTACCGGAGCCCTGTCTGTATCAGACCTGCCTGTACCCAGAGCTCTGCTTTTACCGGAGCCCTCCCTGTACCGGAGCCCTCCCTGTACCAGAGCCCTGCCCGTACCCAGAGCCCTGTCTGTACCCACAGCCCCGCCTGTACCGAGCCCCGTCTATGACCGGAGCCCTGCCCGTACCCGAGCCCTGCCCGTACCCAGGCCCCCGGTTGTACCCGAGCCCTGCCCGCACAGCCCCTGCCGGCCCGGGCAGCTCAGGGCGGGTCTCGGGCACGGGGGGTTCCGGGGGGTTCCGGGTGGTTCCGTTCAGGATCTCCCACCCCCAGCCTCCAACATCGGGCCCCAGGACTACAAATCCCATGATCCTCCGCGGCCCGCCCCGCTGCGGTCACTTCCGGGCGGCGCGCAGCTCCCCACGGCCGCTGTAGTCCGGGGCGCGGGGGATGCTGGGATCCACGCTCGGTGTCACGTGATCCGCGCCCCACCGCCCTCTCCCGTGCCCGCCGCCGCCGCCGCCGCCGCCATGTTGGTCGCCCGCCGCCTCGCTCCGCTGCTCGCCGCCCGCCCGGCGCTGCCACGAGCCCGCGGGTACGCGGAGGCCGCGGCCGGGCCCGCGCCCATGGCCTTCACCTTCGCCTCGCCCACGCAGGTACCGCGGGCCCCGCCACCGGCACCGACCTTGGCCCTGACCTCGGTCTCTCTCCGCTCCCGCCTGTGAGGCGCGGGGGGGGCCCGAGCACGGTGTGGGCAATGCGGCACCTCCCGCCTCTGGTCTCCGTGTGCCCCCCCCACCGCTCGGTGCCGGTGTTAACGCCCGGGCTCTGCCCCCTTCATCCCTCAGCACCCAGAGGGGCGGCAGCCACCGGCGTCCCGTCCCGTTCCATTCCCGGTTCCCACCCGCTCCGCTCTCCCGTGTCCAGGTGTTCTACAACGGCGCCAACGTGAAGCAGGTGGATGTGCCCACGCTGACCGGCTCCTTCGGCATCCTGGCCTCGCATGTCCCCACGCTGCAGGTCCTCAAGCCGGGGGTGGTGACCGTCCATGCTGAGGATGGCACAGCCACCAAGTACTTCGGTGAGTGATGGAGGGGGGCTCTGCCCATCAAGGGGTGCCCCTGGGACATGGGGTTTCGGGTCTGTTCACCCTCTCTGGGAGCATCTTTCCCTTCCAGTCCCCAAGGGACGTGGGGACGTGCAGCAGGAGGGTGTCACCCTTTGCTATGGCAAAAGGATCATGGAGGCTCCGGGATGCACTTCCCGGCTCTGCCCCATAGCCTGACCCCCAAGCAGGCCCGTGGGGCAGCGCTGCCTGACCCGGTGCTGCTCTCGTGCCTCCGCAGTGAGCAGCGGCTCCGTCACGGTCCACGCGGACTCCACGGTGCAGGTGCTGGCGGAGGAGGCGGTGACCATGGACATGCTGGACCTGGCGGTGAGTGGGCTCCCTGGGGCAGGCACCAGCAGCCGGGCCCCAAATTCTCTCCCCTGTGTCACTGGGGTTGTCTCAGGGGCTTCCTGTGCCTGTGCCCGGAGCCAGGGCTGCGCCTTCCCCCCCTCCCCTGCTTCCCCATCGCCCCCTGATCCGCATCAAAGGGGCTCCTCCCCATGAACTCCCCGCAGGCTGCGGGGAGAAGAAGCTCTGCAGTCATTACCCCTTCCCTCCCTCACACAGATGCTGATCTTGCCCCTCCCCAACCCTCTTCGGTCTCCAAACCAGCTTTTCCCCTGCAGGGCCTGTTGATAAGGTGTCTGTGGGGCCCCTGCATGGGGGTAAGGAGGGCTCTGCAGGACAAGCTTCCTGGTCTCTCCGTGACGTGTTCCTTGTGCTCCTTGTGTTCAGACTGCAAAATCAAACCTGGAGAAGGCTGTTTCAGAGATGGCTGCAGCATCGGATGAAGCAGCTAAAGCAGAAGCCCAGATCAAAGTAGAAGCGAATGAAGCCCTTGTAAAAGCCCTGGAGTAACTGAGGTCAGTGTCCCCTGTGTCCTGGCTGGGATCTCTGCAGACCAGTTCCTGTGCTCCACTGCTGCCCTTCTCCATGGGTGTCAGCTCCATGGGGCTCACCCTGCCCAGAACAGCCCCAGTGCGGTGCTGGGGAGGCCTCCGGGTTGAGCCTGATGTCAGAGGAGGCTGCTGGGGCCTCACTGCTGCCTCCAGGTCACCGCTGGGGAGGGCAGCTCAGGGGCAGGCTGGTGCCTGAGGCCCCAGAGGGAGAGCAGAGGCGGCCTCTGCCCTGTCTATGCTCCCTTCCACTGCAAACAAGCAGCTTCTGTCTTGGGGTGGCAGGGCCAGGCCCCTTTTCCTTTATGGTGCCTTATCCCTCCTCTTCCTATGTGCTGACAGCTGGGAGGCTGCGGGGCTGGGGAGGCACCAGGAGCTGCTCCAAGGGGCTCTGCAGGGAGCAGGTTCAGTTCTCTGCTCCCTCTGCTCTGGCCTGGGGGAGCCGCTGGCTCTTGGTTACTGGCACTGGTTTAAGAGCCCTGGGATCAGAACCCACCTTAAAACCAACCCCACTTCTCTGTGTTGCAGGAATTGCCCTGTGGATGTAGAGAAAACCCAGCCTGCCCCTATTGTACAGATGATTTGGGACAAACGGAGGCAGACAGAACGCTCTGATCCATTAAAAGGAAACGTTATCCCATCTCATAGTGTCGCCTTCTTCCAAGGTGCGAGTTGCAGCTCGTGCTGCCCCTGTGCCTGCATGCTCAGTGCTGGCTCCTGCCCTGTGCTGCGGTGCAGCCCCCCGGGAAGCTGTGGCATTCCCATTCATGGGAGATTCACCTCCAGGGGGTTGTCAGGCTCATTTCATACCCTTCCATGGGCTGTCCGCTACCTCCACCTCAAGTAATCCACCTGGCCAGCGGGATGACAGCAGGAGGAGGAGGAGGCAGCATCCATGGGGCCATGCAGGTCTGTGCCAGAGGCTTCCTGCCCCATCCGCCTTTTGCTCAGCGACCCAGCTCTGTTGCCACAGGAATCCCTGTTTCTGGGCTGTTTCATCCCGGTGCTGCTTGCAGCTGGACGGCAGCCGCCCGGGCTTGGCCCCATTCCCCTGCACTGCATCTCCCCCATGTGTGTGGCACAGAGAGCAGGGGGAATCTGCCCCCTCTCCTCGGAAGCGGGCTGGGTGCAGGGAGGGAAGCAGATGCCGAGCCCGGTGGGAGGCTTTCCTCACATCTGTGCCGTGGTGGCAGCACAGGGCAGCCCGGAGGAGGGAGGCAGCGCTTGCGTGCCTGTGGCGAGCTCACCCGCTCCATGGGATGAGTGGGCTTCAGTAAGGAGCCACTTCTGCCTCTGCCAGGTGCCCACGATGGGGTCTTGCCAACAGCACCGGCTGCTGTGGGGCTCCCCTAAGGGTTCTGGGTTCTCTTTGCAGTGTGGGCTCTGCTGGGCACACAGGGTCCCCTCACCCTGCTCTGACCCCTGTTCCAGTGCCTGCAGGGAACCCGCTTTGGCTTCCCATTGCCTGCAGCCGCTCCATCCTCAGGGACACGGCTATTCCGGGTGCTGCCACCCAGGATGTCATCTTGGCTGCCTCCTCCTCCTCCTCCCTTCTCCGTCTTTCTCTCCCCCTCCCTTCCCAAGCGATCAGAAATAGCTCCTGTGCTGTTAAATCTCTCCCCGTGGCTCATTAAACGCCGCCGAGTGCCTGACACTGAGGCTATTTGAAGCTCAGCCTTCTCCCCAGCTCCTGAGCTGCTCCGCTGCCTCTTTCATCCCCTCCTTTTCCTCCTCTTCTAAAGGTCGTGCGTTGCTCCGTGCCCAAGCAAAGCCTCCGACTCGGGAGCGGGTGCTAATTAAAACGGCTCGGGAATAGCTGGGGACGGGCTCTTTGCTCCCGCTTCCGCTGCCTCCCGCTCGCCCCTGTCCCCGGTTTCTATTTGCGGCGTGCGGGTGCCTCCCCCGGCGCTGACGGAAGGTGCCTGGGTTTGGGGGGGGGGGGGGGTTCAGCTGATGGGAGAGCGTTGGCGAGGCCGGGAACTGGGGAAACGGCCAGCGGTTATTTTTAGGATGGGAAAAAACAGTGGCTCCGTCAGCGGCCTCTCACCGGCTCCTTCCGCTGCCTCCTGCCAGCACCGGGAGCACGGGGACTGGTGCGGACCGGGTCCTGCCCCTCGCAGGGTGCCCTTGGCCGGGCTCTCGCAGCGCGATGTCTCCTGGGATTTGTAGTTTGGGGGGAGCAGCGAGCCCCCCTCTCTGTCATGGGTCTGCTCCCATCCCTGCTCCCCATAGGTAGGGAAGGGGCTTTCTGACCCCTGCCACGAGGGAGAACCGGAGCAGCGCCGGGCAATGCCTGTGAGCCTGGCTTGCATTGACCTCGCTTTGGGGGTGCAGGGGACATTCCCTGTGCTCTCCCACAGCCCCTTTACATCCCCATCACCCTGATGCAGCCTCAGCCCTTCCCATCGCTCTCGTTATCTGGCTCTGGCGAGCAGCAGCGCTCTCCTCCTCCCCCGGTGCCGCGCTGAGCCCCGGCTCCCTCTGCCCACACCGGAGCCGCCGTCAGTCCCATCCCGCTGGATGCCACGGGGCCGGGCTCTGACTCGGTGCTGGGGATGTGGGGCTGCGGCTGAACCGGGGGCGAACCCTTCCCTGCTCCCTGGGCCACCACGGGCCGGTGCCGGTGCTGCCAGCGGGGATGCGGGGGTCATGTGGCGCCCATGCCTGTACCCTGATGTGATGTGATTCAAGGGGTGAATCCTCCCTCCTCTCACCCCCAGACCAGCCTGGCTCCGGGATGCACTTGGGGACCACGGCCTCTGTCTGCAGCAGCGCCTCAAGGTCTTTCCCCACTGCTTTTAAAGCTGCTGCTCGCTCCTGCACCGGGCAGGGGGCCTCGGGGCCGGGAGCATCGGCGCAGGCAGCGGAGCCTGGGATCTGCTCGCCTCCGGCTTCCAGCTGCCGCGGGGCGCGGTGGGCGTCATTGGGAAGCGTTCCCCCCGAGGAGGGAGGGAAGGGCTGCCGGGAACGCGGCTGCGTCGCCTTCCTCCTTCCTCCCCACCGAGGGCTTTTGCCCGTGACTCCCATCTCCTGCTGCCAGATGGAGGGCGGGGAGCGGGGCCGGGAGCGCTCGGAAAGCGAAGCATCCCCGTTCCTGCCAGCGGGATGAGTCCCGAGAGGAGCCCAATGTCCCGGTGCTGGTGTCCCCTCCCCGTGCTTGGAATTCCCACCCAATGCAGGGGAAGCGTTTGAGCTCCCGTCTCAGTGCTGGAAATGCAGCCCCCAAAGCCCAGGATTCCCCTGACTCACCCCACGGGGCCGCCCCTTTCCCTGCCCCATTGGTGCTCAGGATCCTGCCCTTCCCCTCGCAGCCACCCTGCAATTGCCCCATGTCCTCGCTGCCTGCGTTGCCAGCGCTCTGCCTCCTCCCTGCCAAAGCGCTGCGGGTGCAGACGTGGCTCCAAGGACCCCTCCCTTGCTCCCACGGCCGTGGGCTGCTGCCACGGCCCCATCCCGGTATGGGAACGTCAGCAGAGGCTCCGCAAGAGCATGGCCGTGCCCTTGGTTGGGCCACGTTGCCCTTGGGTGGCTCAAAGGCCGTATCCTCATCACTTCCTTCAGCGGGGGGAGCGCTGCTGTAATGATTAACCCGCGCTGCGTTACTCCTTCCATCCTGCAGCCTTTTTCCTCTGTTTCCAGCACTGGAAAATGCTCCTTTTCCGCCTCCATCCCACACACGTGGCCCCCGCGCAGGGAATATCAGGAGCAGGGGCTCCGGGCACGGCACGGGGCAGGATCCGGCCCGTTTCGGGGTGATTTGCCGGCAGATGGCGGTGGAGCCGTGGGGAGCCGTTGCCCCATCGGCCTCACCCCAAAACCCGGGCACAGGAGCTGGTGCCGCCGGGCGCTGAGCAGGGCGGGTGTTGCAGCCAGCACGACGGTGCTTGTCATGCAGCGCCCGGGCCAAGAGCCCCGCAGCGCTGTGCTGGCGAGAGCAGCAAACCCTTGGCCTGGGGTGGGTTCTGTCGTGGGGAAACTGAGGCACGGATGGGGGGGAACCACTTGGAGGCTGGGGAGGGCACGGATGGGACATGGGATGTCCCTGCCCTGTGATGCTCTGGGATGCTGCTGTGGGTGACCCGACCCCCCCCCCGGGGGGGCTGCAGGGGCAATGGGGCAGCGCATTGTTCCCATTGATGCCTCAGGGCTGCGGATGCTTCAGTGACCGCTCCTGTCTGGCTTCGCTGGAGCCAGCCCAAAGCCGCATGGATGGGGACACAGGGGCCGTGCTGGGGGGCCGAGAGAAGCCTCCCCCCCCCCCAGGGCCACGACCCGTGCGGGGCAGGGAGAGGCCGGGAGGAGGCGCTGGCAGCCGAGCCCGACGCCGGCTCCAGAGGCGGCCCGAGCCGAGCGAGGTGGCTCCGGTCCAGGTTCCCACGGCGGCCCCGGTGCACAGAACACCCCCGGAGCCGGTGGCGGTTGCCACAGCGCTGGGCCCGGTGCCAGGCTTTGGTAGGGGGGGGGTTCATACACAGAGCCCCGCACCCGGGTGCGCCGGCTCCGGACCCTGGCACGGCGCTTTGGGAGCAGCGTGCGGCGGCGGAGCGGGGACCAAAGGCTCCTGACCCGGTTCTTGCTGCCCCCGCCTGCCCTTTGAAGTGCCGGGACTTCGCCCTTGGTAAAGCTGGGAGGTTCCCAAGCAGCTCCTGGCTGGATCCCGGCGTCCCGATGGGAGCCCCCGGGGCTCCAGGGGCTGCTCGGTTCCCTTTGCCCGCCGCAGCCGGGAGCTCCCCGGTTCCTGCCCGCTGCAGCCGGGCCCGGCGCTGGGGCTCTTCCTGGAAGGGTCGGCGCCAGGCTGAGGCCCGGGGGGGGGGACCACCAGGGCCGGCAACCATCGGGGATGCCCCGGCATGCGGCAGGGAGGAGGAGAGGGCAGCACTTTCACCTCCGCTCCCTCGAAGGCCGCATGTGCGCTGACCGGATGCCCCTTATTGGGTATAAATAGCAGGGATTAAGGCCTGGTGTGGCGCTGGAGTCACTTCCATCGGGTGGAAGCCGCCCCACCGGACCTCAATGGGGTCATTGTGCACCGCGGCCCCGCAGGGTACATCCCAAGCAGCTGTTGAGCCCAACCCCACCATGGGCTGGGGCCGGGTCCCACGCACAGGGGAGGCGCTGGGTGATGGCGATGATGATGATGATGATGATGATGGCTTCCCACCATCCCCGTCCCCACCTGGCCGTGCCGGCTCTGCCGCGGCCCTGCGGCCCCCTCCCTGCCCGGGCAGCGCCGGCAGCTGCTGTGGGGCGTGATGCCGGGGTGTGCCGGGCGCCGCGGGGTGCGGAGCGAGGGAGGGAGCCGCTGCCACCCAGCAAGACGGGGCCGGCCGGGCGCGGAGCCTCGGAGCCTGCAGCCAGCGCGGCCGCACCCGTGTGGGCTGAGCGGACCCCGGCGCCCGGCGGAACCAGCTCCATCGCGTCCCGGCTGCCCGCGGACAGGCCGCTGCAGGCAGGGCCTCCCCCCCCTCCGCTGCCCGGGGCCAGGCAGGTGCAGGGAGCATCCGGTAGGAACCGGAGCTGCCGCCGTGCCCGCGGTGCCGGGGGATGCGGGGTGGCCCCGGCCCCGCTCGCCCCTCGCTGCTTCCCCACATTGTGACCCCCGGCCGGCCCCGCATCCTGTCTCGGCAGATGGGGCCTGG